CTGGTGCATGCCCCACACGTGGAAGCTACGGAGGAGGCAGGTCCATGCACCCCCCATGGGCGCTAGGGAGGGGCCAGGGACTGGTGCATGCCCCACCCGTGGAAACTAGGGAGGGGGCAGGTCCATACACCCCCCATGGGCGCTAGGGAGGGGGGAGGGGGCAGTGCACACCCCCACGCGGGCTAGGTGGGCAGGTCCCCGGGCGGGGGCAGAGCCCGGCGCGTGCCGGTCGGGTCGGGGCAGGGCGGGGAGGGGACAGCAGGGCCCGGCCCGCGAGGCGGAGGCTGGCGCGTGCCCGCCAGGAGGGGGCGGGGGGCTCTGGCCCCGTTCAGTCACTTACCGGGGGGCGGGGCGCCGCCTCCTCCTCGGCGGGGAGCAGGGCCGGGGAGGGGGGAAGCGGCGGCAGCTCCGTAGCCGCCAGGCGGGGGAATGTGGGGTGGCGCATGCGCTAAAGGCGGGGGGGGTGCACAATGCCGCTCTCTCCTGGGGATGCTACGGCGAGACAGAAGGGACAGAAACAGAGACAGGCCGGGTGCACTGGCAACGCCTTAAAGGGCTAGAAGCCTTTTCTGGGTGAATAGTTGGCGCGGGGGAGCGGGGAAACTAGGTGTGGTTTGGTGAAAACCTGCTCGGTTGGGTCCCCCAGGCCACGCACGGATGCACAGCCAGGATTCCTCCAGAGATCCCAGCTAGGCTCTGCTATGCACAGCTCCAGCCCAGAGGCACCCGTGCTGCCCACGTGGGCAATTCCCATTGAAGTCACTGAGCGCTAGACCAAAGCCCAACCTGAAACTTCCCAAGCAGGAGCCCTCAAGGCCTGACTCTTCCCTGCCGACTACCCGTGTAGTCATTTACACTGGGCAACGTGGGCGTAAAGCGCTGCCTCTGGGGGGAGGGGAGTTCTGATCCGGGGGTGGCACGCACGCACGCACACACACACACTTCTGACTGTTAACATGTCCACACTGAACATACGGTCAACATACATGGCTCATATTAGGAAACCCAGGCCCAAAACGGCAGCGCTGCTTTAAAACTCACTTTTTAAAATTTTGGGCAGGTCCCATGGTTATTGTGTCTTACTGATTCCAGATCAAATGCACTCCATTTGCAAATGAAAAGGTGACTTTTAGCACCCAGCCTTACAAATTCACTCTGGCATCTAAGGCCTTGGCTACACTGGCGCTGTACAGCGCTGCAACTTGCTGCGCTCAGGGGTGTGAAAACGTCCCCCACCCCCACCCCCCCGCGAGTGCAGCGCTATAAAGCGCCAATGTAATCAGCCCCTGCAGCGCTGCACACTCGCTCACAGCGCTGCAAGCTATTCCCCTCGGAGAGATGGAGTACTTGCAGCGCTGCGAGAGAGCTCTCGCAGAACTGGCAGCGTGACTATACTCGCGCTTCACAGCGCTGCCGCGGCAGCGCTGTGAATTTTCAAGTGTAGCCAAGGCCTGAGACTCGAGCTGTGTTCTCTCAAATCAATGATAGTCAGACTTAGGCTCAGGAGCCACAAGTGGCTCTTTAATGTGTCTCCTGAAGCTCATGATATTAAAACACGGTGTGATTTAATTATTAACCAATCAGGATGCTTTTACTAGGTTATTAACCAATTGTAAAATACTTGGTCAGTCATTTTGCTGGGGGAATTTATATATATACATATATAAATTCACACTACTGTGGCTCTCTTAGGTAATGTTGATCACCAGTTTGTCTCCTGAACCATTGAGGTCGGAGTATCACAGTTATACAGTATTGCTAGTGGTCTACTTAAATGACAGAGAAATCGCACATTTTTCAAGGGTTGGTCAT